GCTCAAGGGCAAGGTTCAGAGTCTCTTCTGTCTTACACTTTGGTCTTCTTTTCTTGTCTTGTCTTTTTAGTAATCTCTTGCTTTTGCAAGTCTTCAAAGATTAGCAAATGGATAAAGTCTAGGGAATGTAGCTTTAAGAAAGGGCAAAACACTGGATCAAGCAGGTGTGTTTAGCACTCTTCACTGTGGAGGTAAGGGTGCACACTGTCTTCACTGGGGCACAGTTACAGTGTGTGAGACAGTGCCAGTGGGACCCATGTCCTGATAGTGGCTCCCTCATGTTTCTACCTCAGTCCCTATTGCTTTGGTCTGTTTTGTCCTAGTTCTCCTTTCCTGCTGCATCTCTTTGCCTCTCTGACCCATTGGCAATGACATGTATGGTGACAATGCCCAACAGGAAAGATGGAACCTCATGCACCTTTGCAGTCATACTGGTGAACGAGAAAGGCATCAAAGTGCTATTTACAAAACTAACAAAAAAACAATTTAGCCACTCATCTATAAATAACGAAGTAAACAACTCTCTAAAAAGCACATAGACTTAACCAAGCCTTCACCAAGGATGATGGGGATCCCCTGGTGGAGTCCCTAAATGACGCAAATGATTAAGTGCTCAATGACTAGCCAAGAGGTTGGAGGTTTAGAGTCATCCGGTGGTGCCTCAGAAGTAACGCCTGGCCATCTGCTTCCCAAAGGTCACACTGTTGACAATTCGACGGAGCACAGTTCTACTCTGCATCCATGGGGTCGCCATGACTTAGAATCGACTCAGCAGAACAATCATGGGAGAAGGAAGGGCTGCTTATGCACAGGGAGACACTCAGGGGGCAGGAGAGTATGGAGGGATGGACACTGGGAAGGGGTAACTATGGGGAGGAAGTGGGAGGGGAGCTGTTGTATTCTGGTAAACTGTGGTCAAAGACATGAGACAAAGTATATGTGAACTGCTGTATGGAAAATGAATTTGCTCTGTAAATCTTCACCCAAATCACAATTAAAAAAAAAAAAATCAACTCAGCAGCAAGTCACAGTAACTCCATGTAGACATGCTTGACATCTGGGACCAAGCATCCCTGAATTGGACCCACTAGACGTTAGCGGCCCAACCCCCCACCCCAAGTTCTCACAACCAAAAAGGACTCCAGATAACTGCCAAATGTCCCCTAGGGGCACAGTCACCCCCCCAGTAAGAGCTACTGTCTTACTAAAAGGAGACCTGTAGGTATTATTCGAAATCCAATGCCCAAGCCAAGAAAGCTAGGGACTGGGGAGTAGACTGGAGTGGTCATTTTCATACCTTTCTCAGGTCCCCACATCATCACATCCAGAGAGGACACCAGCCAGGGTGCCTCTAGCCCTCAGTGTCTCTTTGGAGAGCCTTACAAGCAAGCCAGGAAGCGCTGACCAGCACAACGACCCTCCTGAATATAATCTGTGTCCCCAAAAGCAATCCTGGAAGATGAGCCCTTGCCACCTCCCCACCCCATTTACGCCTATGAGTCACCAAACAGGATGACAAGGGTCAAACTGAGCGGGGCGGGGGGGGGGGGGGGGGTAACTGCGTATTACTCACTTGCGTTCTGCAGTCCGTGGGGAGGGGCCTTTGGGGAGCAGCTTCCTCCGCTGCTGCGCCTCCTCCAGGAGATGCTCGTCCTTGGGGAAGATGTCCCCCATCAGGTCCATGGTGGTCTTGATCTTCACACTGGGGTCCAGGACGTCAGCTAGGGACCGGTCCTTGCCCACAATCTCACGTGCCAGCTCCTCGGACTTGAGCTCCTCCACCGTCTTCTCTTTGGCCTTCCCATAGCTGAGCCCTGCCGGGGAGGCACAGCGATCCTTGGCAGGGGGCGCCTGGGCACTGGGGGACTCGGGCTCAGCTGGCCGGGTGCGGGGCGGCTCCCCAGGCTCGGCACCCTGCCGCGTGTACACGCAGAAGCGGGAGTAGGAGTGGCTCGAGGTGCTCAGCGACTTGATCTGGTCACACTCCAGCCCACTGGGCAGGGTGGGCGGCTCGGCAAGGCGGGCCAGGCCCTGGCGGCTCGCCTTCTCGGGCTGGCTCTCCGAGTGCACGATCTTGATGGGCACCATCTTCACTGTTGTGTTGTTGTCCATCACCCGCTCGATTCTGGAAGGAGAACAAGTGGCAAAAGGCCACGTGCACCCTGGACAACGCTCTGGCATGCCAGGGGAAACCTGACTCAAAAAGCCCCACGCGCCAGAGCTGGCAGGGTGGCCACGGTCGCATGGCCGAGCTCAGGACGTTCCCTGACCCTAAGTCCGTCTCCTGCCATCAGCCGGCTCAGGGCCTTTCTGTTGGCATACGGCATCCCATAGCCCACCAGGAGTTCTGGGGATGCCATCTGGGGGAGTCTGGTGAGCTATGTGAGAATGGTTTGATTTTCCAAACACAGAAACTTAGAAACCCCACTCAGTTTTCTTTTGTAGGGAAACCTGCGATAGATGGGCAGTTTTCACAGGATTACCAGTTGAGTCTAGTATGAGTCCCGTGCAGATCCTGAGCTCGACCTCAGGGACGCTGATATTGTCCTCTCCCAGGAAGACTGCACATGCTTTAACCTGACACCAAGCTCCACCCCTGTCCCATCAGAAGCTGGCTCACATGCCCCCTTGCAACCCGTACCTCACCCCCAAGCTGTAGTCCACCTCCCATCCACCTCCCAGCCCACCAGCCTGTTCCTTGCCACCCAGCCCTCACTCCACTTCCCAAATCCCAGCCTTCCACCCCCACCTCCCAAATCCCTGCCCTCACTCTACTTCCCAAATCCCAGCTCTTCACCTCACCTCCCTACTCCAAACTTCCCAAATCCCAACCTCTACTTTGCCTTCCAGCTTCCCACCCCACCTCTCCACTTCACTCTGCCTCCCAGCCTTCCACCCCGCCTACCAAATTCCAACCCTCCACCTCCCCTCCCAGCCCTCACTCCCTACACTTAACCCTTACAGTTTTTTCACACCAGTGAGATAAGCATCTCAGCAGCAAACAGGGGACTCTGGTTTTGGGTCACCTCAAGTGACTCACGGAGTAACACAATTTCCTTTTTTTGAAGCTTCTTTGTGAAAGGAGCAGAAGAGATAGGGAGGAGGAGGAGAGGATGGCAAGGAAGTGCCCAAAGAGGTTCCTTCTGTGACAGCTGAGTCCCCAGCGTTCTAAGCTACGTACGTCTGGGGGGGGGGCAGCGAATGTTGGCGAGTTCCGTGAGGACTCAACCATTTTCAAGTCTTTTTAAAATCGTCGGACACACACAGCAGTCTGCCGCTGCCCATGCACATATACTGCATATTCAGAAGGAGGAAAACAAACAAAACAACCAACAATCACAAAACCAAACACCAGGGCTTGTCTCTAACCCATGCAGCTGAACCCACATCTGTAGTGGTACACCATGGACCGAACTTTCTATAGCATAAGGGAAGCTCAAACCAAACCAAACCAAACTCACTGCCATCAAGTAGATTCTGACTCACAGTGACCCCCCGCTGGGTTTCTGAGGTAGAAAATCTTTACTGAAGTAGATTGCCCCATTTTCCTTCCATGGAGCAGCTGGTAGGTTCGAACCACCAACCTTCTGGTTAGCAGTCAAATGCCTTAGGCACTGTACCACCAAAGCTCCTTACAAGGGAAGTTACTGTGTCCCAAATTCAATGTTGCTATGCTCCCTTTAACTGGTGGCTGGGGAATGATTCTTTCCTGTTCCTAAGGGTATAATCTGTGGGTCAAAATGAGATTATTTTGTATTTTTTTTTCCCTGAAGGAGCCCTGGTGGCACAGTGGTTAAGCACTCAGCTGCTAACCAAAGGTGGGTGGTCTGACTCTACCAGTGACTCTGCTGGAGAAAGATGTAGCAGTCTGCTTTAGTAAAGATTACCCCAAAACCCAATCTCATCACCATCTCGTAGAGACTCTCCACATAGGACAGAGTGGAACTGCCCCATAGGGTTTCCTACACTGCAATCTTTAGGAGAGCAGATCGGTAGTCTTTTCTTCCATGGAGCCACTGGTGGGCTCAAACTGCTGACCTTCTGGTTAGCAGCTGAACGCTTAACCACCAGGGCTCTTCTCTATCAAAATCATTGCCTTGGAAACCCTCTGGGGCAGTTCCACTCTGTCCTCTAGGGGCGCTGTGGGTGAGAATCAACTTGGTGATTTGGTATTTTTGATTTTGGTTCCCTTCCTCCTGCAAAAACCAGTAAGAGTAGATATATTTTATCGAGGTGTTCATAGATAGTCCTTCCTCATGAATAAATGAAAGCCTAACTCTGGAAGATACAGCATTTGTTGTTGTCGTTGTTATATGCCGTCAAGAGATATAGCATAGATATGTTCAATTTAAGAAAGAAAACCCTCACATCTTATTTAAGCAAAAACAAACCAAAAAATCCACTTTGGTCACAGTGTCTGCCCTTAGAGACCCTGGTCACCTCTTACTGACTTGTAAGTCAGCCTGAGTTCCATCTTCCCCGTTAATGGAAAAAGTGGGTTCTCAGTGAAGAACATCTGAAAAGAAATAAAACAATAACAACAAGCCTCTACAATTAACACAGACTTCCAAAAAACACCTAACCTTGGCCATGATGAAGCACAAGGAGCCTCTCTCCTTGTAAAAGGCTAAGACTTCTACAGCGAATAGTTTAAGAACCCTTTCATTCAAAATAAACACAAAACCCAGACTTTACCAAACCAAATCCTCTGCCATCAAGTCAATTCCAACTTACAGCACCCCTAGAGGGCAAAGAGAACTGCCCCATTGGGTTTCCAAGGCTGCCATCTTTATGAAAGCCGATTAGAGGGGAGATACATATTGATTTGGGTGAAGGAAAAGGTAAAAAAATAAAATGAAATAAAATAAATAAGAAAGGAAAAACAAAAAAGATTTTAGCTGAGTGTCCAGACTATGACAGACTAGGAAGAAAGACCTGGCAACAGACTTCCAAAATTTAGCCAATGAAAACCCTACCTATCAATCACAATAGGAGCTCTGATGGCACAGTGGGTAAGGCATGTGGCTGCTAACCAGAAAGTGGGTGGTTCAAATCCACCAGCCGCTCCACGGGAGGAAGATGAGGCAATCTACCTCCGTAGATCTACAGATTTAGAAACCCACTACAAGTCAGAATCGACTCAATGGCAGTGGGTTATCAATCACAATGGTTTGATCCCCAGGCGATCATGGGGGTAGTGCATTTTGTTGAGTTACACATGGCATCACGGTGAGGCCAACTCCACAGCCACTAACGACAATCATCTGCAGAGACAGATAGAAAAGATGGCTCGGATGGAGTGGAGAGGGCGGGACCATGCCCATTAATGTCACACCCCTTCTGCTCCCTGTGGGGAAGGGCAGCCCCTGATCCATTAAAAATCCAGAGATGATTATAGCCATAGTTTCCCTTCCTTGGAGTGATTCACCAGGACCACCTTTAAGACCAAATATTCCGATAGGAAGCAAGGCGCTCGTCAAACACGACCATGCGATGATGCGCGATAAACCTGCGGCAGCAAGGAGGCCGCCTTCTGTGGGAAGAGGGTGTGGGCACTGGGCCCAGGATACTACCTTGTCGAGCTCTCATCCTGGATGAGCAGGGGGGGCTTGTCGGTCAGCTTCTGGGGTGCAAACTGGGGGGAAGGGGAGCGGGAGGTCTCCATGGTGGCTCTCTGCAGGTGCCGGGGCTTGGGCGGGTCCTCATCTACATGCTGGCGGTCACGTTCACAGGGGGCAGCCTGCGGGGAGTCTTGGGGCTCACTGACGGCAGGTGGGGTCTGACAGAGGGGTGGTTGGCTCACACACACATCCAGGGGGGTGGCCGGCAGGTCGTCTGTAGGAGCAGCACCCACAGCCGCAGCCCCTGAGGTTGCTCCGTCCAGGTCCCGCGACCTTCCAGGCTCGCGCTTGGGTGGCAGAGGCCTCTGTGGGACCAGCTGCTTGGGGAGGGGTGCAGTGCTCGCCAGCCAGGTGTCCCCACCTCGCCCGGGCAGGGGAGAGGGGGCGCTCGAGGCCGGGGGGCGCAAGCAGAGTTGTGGGAGCAGTTCTGCCGGGCTGTTCTCCTCAGAGTATCGATAATCGCGAGGCAGCGTCTCTGCTCGGCTCCGGCCTTTCTGGGGCAGCTCTGGGGCCTCTTGGGCGTGAGCGCTGCCCGTGGAGAGTGGAGGCTGGTCCTGCGTCCGCAGGTGTGGTGGGTCCCCGCCTCCTCCTGGACTATCGCCCCAACATTGCACGCTGGCTGGTCTGCAGGAAAGACAGCAACATTAGCAAATGATTCCCATTCACAGCTCTCCTCCCAGTTATCAGACCCAGCAACCAGTTAGAAAACCAAGTGCTGTGACGTCAGCTCTGGCTCCTGGCGCCCCTGCGTGTGCGGGGAGAGCCTGTGCTCCGTAGGGCTTTCCGATGGATGGATGCTTAGAACTATTTCACCAGGCCTCTCTTCCGAGGTGCCCCTGGTAGACTCAAACTGCCAACCTTCCAGTTAGCAGTGTTTGTACCACTCAGGGACTGGAGGCCCAGCAAGGTGACTTGAAAATCCCCTTTATTTAGCTTTAAGTTATTAAATCCCTGTCCATTTGCCCACACCTCTCCCCACCACGATTCTTAACACAGGTAATGTATCCAAACACACATTAGATGACACCGGGCTCCACATGAGCATAGGAATCAGCTGAGTCCAGGGAACTGAGGTACACACACACACGAGATGCACACACATACACGTACATACAAACTCCATTTTGGGGGGCCAAAATGGCTGCACAAAATCTTCAGAAACAATATGTCTGTGAAAGTTGTCATATATCACTATATTCAGAAACACAAGTGGCAACGATACTTTTATGTGGCTCATGAGAAGCCACTATAAACTTCCTCAGGTGGGCTGCAAACCAGGATGTGAATAAAACCTCTCAACTCAGTAGCACATTGTGAGAAAAGGAGAAACACAAAGCCTCCTTCTTCTGAGAGCTGCGGTGGTGCACTCGTCTCTCCACCTCCGAGCCACGTCATACGTCCACTTGCGTGTGGTTACAGGCACGTATATAGATCACATCTGACAACTCTACACATGCACGTTCACAGACATGTTTATATGTGTCCTAGCTTGTGGCTAACAGCTGTCACAGCTGCTACAAATTCACCTGCAACTCCTTTCCAGACAGCCTGCTTCTTCCCACTCTTTCTTTGTAGGTGAGGGTTGCACTGTTAACTTCTCAGCAAACAGACTCAGGAGGCAAAAGCCCAAGGGCCGAGGGGAAATGTAACATGTTTGCTCCCAGGCCAGACTGGACCTTCCCATGACACCTGGTGTACAGGAGTCTCCTGCTAGTGCTTCCAGCAGCTGCTTGGTGCCTTTTCCTGCGGTACTCTCCTCCCTGTCTCACCAACACTGTACCTTCCAGCTAGCGAGGAAGTACAGCAAAGGAGCCATGGCACCAAGGCCCAGCTGAGGCCACTGGGAGGCAATTTACTTTCTAGAGTGCTGGCAAATCCCGCTCTGTATTCTTGGTGTGACCCCACCTCACTGACCTCGCATGGGAAGCATGCCACCCGCGACACTTGCCTCACCTTCCTACTACTGTGGACATGACATTGGACCTTCCTTCCACTGCAGGGACTCAGCCCACCACGTGATACTTCTTCAGAGTGTCGTGTGGGGAGGAAGCTGTGTCACTATTTGGAGTCCCTGGATGGCGCAAATGGTTAAGCGCTCAATTACGGGCCAATGATGTCAATGAGTGTACATGAGTGCCTGTATGGGGTATGCGCACAGGTGAATCTGGTATGTTGTGTGCATGTTGTGTGCTATGTGTTTATGTGTGTATGATATGTGCCGATGTATCTATGCTGTGTATGTGTGTCTGTGTTATGTATGTCTGAACCTTGTGTGTGCGTGCCCACATTGTGTACATGTGAGTTGTGGATGTGTGGATGGTGTATACGCACAGATGTCTGTGCTGTGTATACGTGTACTGTGTGTAGCTGTTTGTTATGGATGCATGTATTGGTGCTAGATGTGCACGGATGAGTGTGTTGCCTGTATCTACACTGTATGTGTGCAGCTGTGCCAGCGTGTCTGTGTATATATCCCTTTCCTGTACTTTCAAGAATAAAGTAAATGGTGACTGCTAATGCAGTGATGGAAGCCCATTGGGCACGTTGGAAGCAGGCCCCAGAAAGCATGGGGGAAGCATGCCTTGGTTTGCCCCGTGTCCCTACAAGCTTCTGGGATGACACAGGGTGGTCAGTTAAATACACAAAGGGAACTGGAAAGGCAGCTGCCTTCCAGAGCTCGTTCACTGACATTCTAGCTGGGGTGGCTGCTCATTCACAAGCAAACATGCTCACTGCATGTCGTCAAGGAGAGAGCGGGCCAACTGTGCCACAGGGAGCAGTGGCCCCCTCGCCCACCTGCCCAGGAGACCCACAGGGAAACACTCATGGGCTCTGCTGAAGGGGCCAGGGAGGGCAAAGGCCTAAGCCAGGACTACAGAGAAAAACCAACCAATCTGCAATGGGAAAGGAGCCATGGTGGTACAGTGGTTAAAGCACTCAGCTGCTAAACCAAAGGTCAGTGGTTTGAACCCACTGGGCGCTCCATGTGGGAAAGATTAGGCAGTCTCCTTCTGTAAAGATGACCTTGGAAACCCTATGGAGCAGTTCTACTCTGTCCTGTAGGGTTGCTGTGAGTTGGAATTGACTCGATGGCAGTGAGTTACAGTGGAAAACTGGATGAAATGCTGCTCAGAGAGTCACACACATGACAGGGCAGAGACCAGCTGCTGCTGAGTCAACTCAACACATCACACATGGCGCCCTCATGTGTTTCTGAATAGAACTGGGTTTCATAGGGTTTCAGTGGCTGATTTTTCAGAAGTAGATTGCCAGGCCTTTCTTCCAAGGCACTGCTGGGTGGACTCCTCTCCAACCTTTTGGTTAGCAGTAGAGTGTGTTCACATTTGCAGCCCCCAGGGAAGCCCTTCACTATACAAGGAAAGAATCCCTTTAGCATCATTATTCCTCAAATTGACATCTCTGATCCTGGTCTGGGGACAGCCAGCCCCACCTCCCAACCCCAGGTTCCCAGGTCTGGGAGGCAGTGGTCTACTTCCAGAGTCCCTCACTGGAGTCATTCCTCTGGGGCTCAGTGTTCTCCTCCCAGTCCCCAGATCTTCCACATAGCTGGTCCTTATCACACAGGCCCAGCCCTGGGCCGGCCCTGCCCTCTCCAACTCCAGGGCTCTGCTTGTCCCAGAGCCCACTGTTCTATGGATGACAGTGTGCTAGCTGAGTGTTCTTTTTAATTGTTTTAAAGCACTATATTCCTTCAGATTCAATGGGCATGATCAGGTCTCACTGTGATGGGTATGACTTTTTTATGACAGATGTCTTCGGATACTTTAGGAGTGTCTAGATTGTGTCATTTTTATTAGCTATCCTCTACTACTGAATAGGGGAGCTCTGGTGGCATAGTGCCTAAGGCACTTGACTGCTAACCAGAAGGCTGATGGTTCAAACCCCTTAGCCACTCCTTGGAAAGAAGATGGGCCAATCTACTTCCATAGTGATACTGCCTCGAAAACCCAAGGAGGGGTCGCTATGAGTTGGGTCTGACTCCACGGCTCCTAACAACAACAATAAAACAACTACTGAACAGAGTTTACAGAAAAGGTAGCACAGTTTCTGCTCCACTACCAACCTCAAAGTTACCACTAACCTAAGGGCTGGTGGTTCAAACCCACCCAAAAGTACTGCAGAAGGAAGGCCTGGACATCTGCTTCCATAAAGATTTCAGCCAAGAAAACCCTATGGGGCAGTTCTACTCTGTCACACATGGGGTCAGTGGCAACTAACAACAACATCTGCACACACTTCTTTTGAGCCATTTAAGTTTAAAACGTTTTCACACTGCTAAACAGTTTCACCTCTCTTTTTTCCTCCCTTACAACTTCATCAAGCTATCATTTTAACATACTGTAAAATCCAGTGACTTGAAGTGTACTGACTGATGAGTTTTGGTAAATTTACAGAGTTGTGCAAGTGCAGTGTAGTAAATTAAATTACATAGTGTGGCTTTTCTAGCCACAAGTCTTTGAAAACTCCATGGTGGCATTTTCTGTGAGCAACTGAGTAGCTCTGATTGTTAAAGTTATCCACCTGGGCTATTTCTGTTGGGAGCAGCACAAAGTATTTTTCTGGGAAGTTCGCTTTCTCTCAGGTGTATAGAATTCTGATGTTGGGATTGGTTAGTTTGGCCACTCTGCCAGGCTCAAAAGGAGCCCTCCTGCAGGCAGAAGAAATCTCACACTGCCAGCTCAGAGACATGAGAGACACGCACTGCTGAGAGAGATGTGAGAGACACATACTGCTGAGAGGGACACTGAGAGATATGCACTGCTGGGAGAGAGACTGAGAGAGACTGTCGGCTGAGAGAGACTGAGTGCATTTCTGAACTTGAGTTGTAGCCTGTTCCTTCCCTAATAAACCCCACAACCTGTGAGTTCTGTGTGGCCACTGCAGTGAATTATCGAACCCAGCAGAGAGGTGGTGGGTGCTGCGGAAGGAATGGTTGGTGAAAGGCCTGGAGGGAGGCAGCATGTCTGGCTTTGCAGGAATAGGCCTTGGGCTACTGATAGTGATTCTGTCTTCCTCTTGTGGGGTTAGAGGAGGTCAGAAGCTGCAGCCTCCTTGCCCCTTTGGCAGCAAGCAACATCACAATCAAGTTTAAGTGCAATTCTATCATCCTGGGTACTTCCATCTTGCTCTGCTATAGTCATTTCTCACCTCTACTCTTGCCCCCTCCCCACCCCCAGCCAACTACTCGTCTGCTGTCTATGTCAGTACAGTTGTATCCTTTCTAGAATTTCACATAAATAGAATCAAGTACGGTGTAGTCTCTTTGCCTATTCTTTCACACAGCATGATGTTTTTAAATCCACTATGTCGTTGTGTGCATCGATAGATTGTTCCTTGGAAGCAACAGTCAAGAAATCTGACGATGGACTACACTGGGCAAATCTGCCGCAAAAGCCCTCTTTAAAGTGTTAAAGACAAAGATGCCACTTTGAGGATTAAGGTGTGCCTGACCCAAGCCATGGGATTTTCAATAGCCTCATGTGCATGCAAAAGCTGGACAATGAATAAGGAAGATCAAAGGAGAATTAATGCCTTTGAATTATGGTATTGGAGAAGGATACAGAATGTACCACAGACTGCCAGATAAATGAACAAATCTGTCTTAGTAGCAGGCTAACCAGAATGCTCCTCAGAAGAGAGGATGGTGAGACTTCATCTCAGGTACTTTGGCCACGTTATCAGGAGGGACCAGTCCCTAGAGACGGATGGTATCACACTTGGTAAAGTAGAGGGTCAGTGAAAAACAGGAAGCCCCTCCACGAGATGGACTCAGACAGTGGCTGCAACGATGGGCTCAAGCATAGCAAGGAGTGTGAGGGTGGGCAGGACCGGGCAGGGTTTCTTTCTGTTGTACACAGGGTCACTGTGAGTTGGAAATGACTAAATAGCACTAAACAAGTATTCCATTATGTGGATGTCCCAGTTTGCTCATTCACTCACCAGTTGGGCATCTGAGTTTCCAGTGTTTGGCTCTTATGTATAAAGCTCATGAACATTCATGTTCAAATCTTTGAAGCATGTTTTCATTTCTCTTGGGAGACACTGAGGAGTGGAATTGTTGGGTTGGACATTCAATACAAGAAGCCCTGGTGGTGCAATGGTTAAGTGTTCACCTGCTAACAGAAAGGTAGGTAGTTCAAACCCAGTGGCTCCGTGGAAGGAAAGACCCAGTGATCTGCTCCCGTAAAGACTACAGCCTGGGAAACCCTATGGGCAGTTATAGTCTGTCACATGGGGTCGCTATGAGTCTGACTGGCTTAATGGCACACAACAACAACATTCAGTGTATGTTTAACTTTTTAAAGAAATCGTTTCTCTAGTTCGGTAAAGTCCTGCATTATTTTTCATTCCTACCAAGAGCGTATGAGGCTTCCAGCTGCTCCATACACTTGCCCATATTTAGTGTTGTCCGTCCTTTTAAGCTTTGCTTTTCTGGTGTGTGTGTGTGTGTGTATGTAGCAGTATCTCACTGTGCCTGATGTGCCTGTCCCCAAGGACCAATGATGCTGGGCATCTTTCCATGTGCTTGTTTGTCAACTGTCTAGCTTTT